AGAAGCGCCCAGTGGGCAGTAAATCTAGTGGCGATGGAGATCCAGCACAGGGTGTATGAGTGCCAAGGCTGTGCCAACCACACCACCCGGTGCCCTGGTGAGCTTGCCTTGACTGCTCGGGGCCCATTCTCCCTTCCACTCCCCTCTCCCTTCAGACTTGACTCCCTCTTGGAGACAGAGACTGGGTTAGGCTGCAACCAAGACAATGCTTACGAAGGTCCCTCGGAGTGGCAAGGGTACAACAGGTTGGGGCACAGCTCCTGCAAGGGTGGGAACAGCCTGGGCTCATTTGGTGAACAGTGAGAAGTTTGTGGCTGCTGAATAGACCCGGACTGCTAGAGGGGAGAGGGAGGGCTTTGGCCCAGCTTGGGGCGGAGGAAGGATGGAGGTTGGCCGTGAAGCTCAAAGGTTTCTTTCTCAGCTGGACCTGGGCGACCGAGGCCTCAAGAACCCCTCCTCCAGGACCCACCTGAGCCAGGTGAGGCTGAAAAGTTTCAAGGGGACAGGGCTGAGAGCAGGTGGACCTTGGAGGGGTCTCGATGGTGAACACGGCCAGGATTTGTTCCTTGTGACAGCGCATCCGCCTTTCTAGGGCCCTGTGGCGAGAGGCGCCCGGGCACTGTCAACGTGACGCAGGCTCATGGTCGCATTGTTGGGGGCAGCGCGGCGCCGCCTGGGGCCTGGCCTTGGCTGGTGAGGCTGCAACTCAGCGGGCAGCCTCTGTGCGGAGGTGTCCTGGTGGCGGCGACCTGGGTGCTCACCGCGGCGCACTGCTTCGCGGGGTATGTCCTGCCCACAGCCTCCTGCCCAGCCTGGGTCCCCAACTCAGGGTCCAACTCCTCCCAGGTTGTTGGGTGGGTGACGCGTGGGAGGGCTGGTCTCTACTGCCCTCTGGCGGCGGCTGACCCCCACGCCCGCTCCTCGCCTCAAGGTCCCGGCGCTGCCCAGACGCGCGCTCAGATCTTGGGGACCCGGGCCGCATCAAGCGCGTTCCGCCTGCTCGGGCCGCTGCCTCTCCTAGGCCCCCAAGGCGGGGGTGGGGGTCGGAAACAGCTGGGCGCGCGGGCTCGCTGGGCGGTGCCTGCGGGCAGAGGGCAGGGTCTCTAGGGAACCCGCTGCACCCTTGTACTGGGTATCATCCGCCGCTCGCCCCGCAGCGCCCCGAACGAGCTTTTGTGGACGGTGACGCTGGCCGAGGGTCCCCGGGGGGAGCCCGCTGAGGAGGTGCCGGTGAACCGCATCTTGCCCCACCCCAAGGTGAGAGGGCAGCCCCCAGACCCTCCGAGCTGGGGACGGCACCCTCACCGCACGCGGCGCTGACGCTGCGCCACTCCCTCCCAAGTTCGACCCGCGGACCTTCCACAATGACCTTGCGCTGGTGCAACTGTGGACGCCGGTGAGCCTGGCAGGGGCGGCGCGCCCAGTGTGCCTGCCCCAGGAGCCCCGGGAGCCCCCCACTGGCACCGCCTGCGCCATCGCCGGCTGGGGGGCCCTCTTCGAAGGTACGGGCGGGGCCGGGCCTGGGTGAGCTGCGCGTGTGCGCAGAAAGAAGGGCGCGGGCCCTCTTCGAAGGTACGGGCGGGGCGGGGCCGGGCCTGGGTGAGCTGCACGTGTGCGCAGAAAGAAGGGCTCTGGGGTGACGGAGTTTGGGCAGGCCGGGATGTAAAGAACCTACTACGCCCAGCTTTCTTCACAAAATGCTGCCAGATCTTGCAAAAGGGGAGGAATCAAAGAGGAGGGGACTCTCAAAGCGGGGCCTCTGCCCTCCAGGCCTGAGCCCCCTCCACCGATTCGATTCCCTGTAGACGGGCCTGAGGCCGAGGCGGTGAGGGAAGCCCGCGTGCCCCTGCTCAGCGCCGACACCTGCCGGAGGGCGCTGGGACCTGGGCTGAGCCCCAGCACCATGCTCTGTGCGGGTTACCTGGCCGGCGGCATCGACTCATGTCAGGTACGGGCCTGATTCATCGGAGGGCGCTGGGTGGGCCTCTCCCCAGTGGCGAGACAACAGACTTTCCTTCTACGGTCAGGCTGCCACTCAAATGCGCTGAGCCTCTATGTTCTCAACGCTAAAATGGGGACGAGGGCGGTAACCCCAGTAGAGCGCAGAGCTGCCTCATCCTGCCAGGTGTAAAGCTGGCCGAGGAGCGGGCCGGACAGACGCAGTGTCCTCTCTCTTGGCTCGGTCCCTGCAGGGTGACTCTGGAGGCCCCCTGACCTGTTCCGAGCCTGGCCCTCGCCCCAGGGAGGTCCTGTACGGAGTCACCTCCTGGGGGGACGGATGCGGGGAACCAGGGAAGCCCGGGGTCTACACCCGTGTGGCCGTGTTCAAGGACTGGCTTCGGGAGCAGATGAACGGTGAGCGCCGGGTTCCTACTGACCCCTCCGTAGAGTGTCCCGCCGACAGCACGGCAAAAGCCCAATCTTGTTTCCATCTCGCGTGTCGCCAGTCCCCTTCTGCGTCAGGAAAGCCTGTCTCTCCCTGGGGCAGGGCTTCGGGGGCTAGGACCCAAAACGGGGGATGAACTGGCTCTTCCTCTCCTCGCAGCGGCCCCCACCAGCCGCGAGCCCAGCTGCAGGGAGCTTTTGGCCTGGGACCCGCCGGAGGAGCCGCTGGCAGACACCGCCCCGCCCTGCGCCTTCTACGCCCACCTGTGCCCGGGGCCCGAGGGTGCCTGTGCGCCCCTGGCGCACCAGCAGTGTCTGCAGCGCCGGCGGCGATGCGGTCAGTCCGGCTCCCGGGGCTGGGCCGTGGGGCAGGGAGCCTGGCCCACGTCTGAACGCCGCTCACGCCCTTGTCCTCCTCGCAGAGCTGCGCTCGCTGGCGCACACCCTGCTGGAGCTGCTGCGGGGCGCGCAGGAGCTGTTCGGCCCGCGCCCGGGAATGCGGCGCCTGGCCCCGGCCCTGGCTCGCTCTGCTACGTCGCTCCGGGGGCCTCGCAGGCACCCGGCACGCGAGCAGCGGCTGCACCCAGGTACCCCGCGCCCTCGCAGCGCAGCCCTGACCCCACCCCTGCGCCGCCGAGTCGTTCCCGTAATCATACTTCTTCCCAGGTTCTCGGGTTGCCGGCGTACAGTTCCCCAAGCGGAGGCCTGAGCAGCGCGGAGACGCGCATGGTAATGACGCCCCCTGCCAGCCATCCCCAGGGGCGCAGGCCAAGGGCTGGCCCAGGCCCGGCGCAGGCCGGGAGGGGATTCTCAGGGATCTGCACTGGGAAGCAGTTACCCCACGGGGCAACCGGCAGACCCGCTCTCCCCCTTCCCCGAATCAGGGGGATAACTCTTTGGGGCTATTTGTGGCTTTGGGCCCTCATCCGTGTCAGGAAATGCTTGGCTTTGAGTTAGCACTCAGCCTCTCTGAGCCTCAGTTTCCCCATCTGTAGCATGAGGAGATGTCTGCGCCCTGGGGAGGGGGGTGTCCTGAGGCACTGGTGGGAACCCGCCCCAACGCCATGCTGCGTCAGTTCTGTTATTCCCGGCCCTCTCCCTTCCGGCAGGCTGTCCTGGCCTGGAGCCACTGAAGCAGAAACTGGCCACCCTCCAGGACGCTCATGCCTGGATCTTACAGGTCCCCTTGGAGCGCCTGGCCATGGACTTTCAGGAGGTAAGTCCCTAGGCTTCCCAGACTCCTTCACGGTGGCCTCACCTCGGAAGGCTGACCTGGGTCAGCCCTGATGGGCAGGGGGGCACACCAGCAGGTGGGAGGAGGGGCAGGTGGGGCATCCAGAAGAAAGGGCTGGAGAAGGCAGCTTCCTGTGAGCTGGGGTGCCGGGTGGGTGCAAAGAGGAGAGGGGGACGTGTGAGTAGAGGGGCTGCGAGGTGTGCAGGTGTGCAGGAAGTGTGCAGGGTTGGGGGGTTAAGGAAAGGGGAGGGTTTGAGGGGGCCAGGATGGTTCGGATGAGAGTTTGGGGGCCAGGAGTAGAGGACCAAGAGTAGGATTGTGGGCCATCGAGCGCCCTCCTCCCTCTGCAGGTCCTGGCAGCTCTGGGCTCCAAAACTAACGGGGCT